GTGACCACGTTGTGTACATGTATAATAGCCCTAAGCAACAAAGTGGAGACAACTGAATACAACAATCTAAAACACAAAATCGACTGTATAATAGTCCTAAACAACATAGTGGAGACAACTGAAGACAACGAACAAAAACACAAAATCGACTACTTATGAATACCAGAATCAATGCAAAGCTACATTTAGCTACGAAAAGAATATTATGTTTCATCATGTGTGAAAAAAAAACATTTTTTTCTACAATTAAAAATAAGGGATTCAACGAAATAGCTATGCTGCCTCTAACAACACTATATTTAAAATAAAATAGGCACGCTGCCTCTGACAACGCTATATTTAAAATAAAATAGGCACGCTGCCTCTGACAACACGTGGGTCATCTAAGAAAGATGCACCACTAACAGAAACAAAACCCGACGAAGAAAATAAAGCTATTTTAAAAGCTACTGTATATTAGCCATAGATCAATTGTACTTATACTTTAAATACACTGTTATCAAGGGCAGCATACATATTTTACTCTGAATATACGTTTATAGAATATACAAGTTATATGGTTACTGGGAAGAATTGGTGATGTAGTTTGTAGAATACTGAAGAATTACGACTACTGGGAACAATCGGTGATGTAGTTTATAGAATACAGAAGTTATATGGCTGCTGGGAATAATCAGTGATGTAGTTTATAGAATACAGAAGTGTTATGGCTACTGGGAAGAATTGGTGATGTAGTTTATAGAATACAAAAGTTATATGGTTACTGGGAAGAATCGGTGTTGTAGTTTATAGAATACAGAAGCGTCTTTGGAATGACATCAGCGAGAGATCCAAGTGGACTCTACTCCAAAGAAGACTTCGCCAGAAGTAAGCCATCCAGATCTCCGAGATTCCTGTTGTAATCACTTCCAATGTATGACCAGATATGGAACCACAATCAGATTCCCATTTCCTCCAGTCACAAGAAGACATGTGATAATAAAAGCCAAATTGTTATTAGATATTGGTATCAAAAGCCAGAGCATAGGAAACTACCAAAAGGTTTTGTTGACTGTACAGTTCAGCCATAGCAAATAAGTAAAAAAACAAAAGATGTTTTCTTATTCAAATTTTCGATTTTACTTTTAAGTATTACATGTTCAAGTAATGATTTAGATGTAATGTTGTTTGTCAATAGTTACTTTATTAATTGTATGAATTTAAGTTTAATGTATCAGTGTTTTATTTGTGTAATAGGATTGTTCAAGGATCTTCACAAGACAGGGCGAAGGCAGTGTTGTAAGCTACGTATGTATTCTGGACATTTCTAGAAAGTTGTGTTGTTGTTTAGCTGAAATGTTAACGTAACTTAATGGGCATAGACTTGTTGTTTGGAACTTACTCAAAAGTTTTGTTAATAATATGAGCCACTATAAAAATGAGTTAGCTTAGAGTGTGAGCGAGTATGTTAATCCGTTTGTCTGTAAATTTCTGTTGGTTAGTTAACTCAACGCTTTGAATATTAAGTTTTTGCTTCAACAACAAAATAGAGGTACAAAATTAGCATGTAAGTGGAATTTCTGTCAGACACAGTTTATTTGTGATGTTAGGTCTATCAGTGAATGTTGGTTACATTAAAATTGGTATTTGAACAAATAAAATGTTTTTGTTATAGTTAAAAATGAATCCAGTATTGGTTTTACCGAAAGAAACTAGCCACCAGTAAAAACTGTATAATTTATTGTTGTAACAAAGTAGCATAGGGATGTTTGTTCCACGGCGTGAATATAGAAGTGTTGTAATGATATTCGTGAAAGTAAAAAAACAAGGTAGTCTTACGTTTCATTAAGTATGGAAAAGAGAATTCAAGCAACTGAGTTGGATTCTTAAGGCTGATCTTGAAAGTATGTTGAACAAGTCACACTTCAAAGAAGATATTTTATCAAGAGCAGGTTGCAGGAGGAATCTGCTGACTAACAGTAGAAAGAGACAGTTGGAGTTTCTTGGACACGTTATGAGGAAATAAATCGAAATTCTGATCGTAACTGCAAAAATTGGGGGAAGGATAAATCGTGGAAGACAGGCTGACTTGTGTCAAAATTCTGTCTAAATGGATGAATGTTTCGACGTTAGAAATTATTTGTACCTCAAGGTGTATATACCTGTGGAGGGCCATGGTCACCAACGTCCTGTTTGGAAATGGTTCAGAGAGAGAGAGAGAGTCCTACGTTTACTATAAGGGCATGGCCAGGGAGGTTCAGAGGTTACGAACGATCTTACACCCACCTCCTTAGAAATAAATATTAATTCCACGAGCCGCTATATCTACTTGCAGTTTTGAAATACACGTTTTTTAAAAACTTTATTTACATTCGCAATATGTTAAAACGCACGGTTCTGTTTGTGAATGCAATATGAATGGTCAAGAACCGTATAAACCATAAAAACTCAATGCTTTGACATCACCTTCTGGCTAGGATATATTCTTCGTATTATCATTTACGCTAGGTCAACTAAAGACAGAGGGCGTGATTGTTTGTTCAACCCAACCTTCTCCCTAGGCAGTTCTATAAATTGCTTACACCTGAAGGTATGTATAACATAATAAGGTAAAAACAAAGATGTACTAACTTCAATTAAGTAATGAGTTTTATCTTTAAAACCTGACAACGAGTATTTATCTTAAGATTACTTTTTATCATCAAGTTTTATGGCTAGTAGGAAGAATCGGTGATGTAGTTTATACAATACAGAAGTTATATGGGTATTGTGAAGAATCGGAGATGTAATTTATAGAATACAGAAGTTACATGGCTAGTAGGAAGAATCGGTGATGTAGTTTATACAATACAGAAATAATACGGCTACAGGGAAAAATCAGTGATGTAGTTTATACAATACAGAAGTTATATGGCTACTGGAAAAAATCGGAGATGTAATTTATAGAATAATGAAGTTATATGGCTACTGGGAAGAATCGGAGATGTAATTTATAGAATACAGAAGTTATTTGGCTAGTAGGAAGAATCGGTGATGTAGTTTATACAATACAGAAATAATACGGCTACAGGAAAATATCAGTGATGTAGTTTATACAATACAGAAGTTATATGGCTACTGGGAAGAATCGGTAATTCAGTTTATAGAATACAGAATTTAAATGGGTTGTAGCAAGAATCGGTGATGTAGTTTATAGAAAACTGAAGTTATATGGCTATTGGGAAGAATCGGAGATGTAGTTTATAGAATACAGAAGTTATGTGGCTACTGGGAAGAATCGGTGATATAGTTTATAGAATACCGAAGTTATATGGCTGCTGGGAAGAATCGGAGATATAATTTATAGAATACTGAAATTATATGGCTACTGGGAAGAATCGGAGATGTTGTTTATAGAATACAGAAGTTATGGTTACTGGGAAAAATCGTTGATGTAGTTTATAGAATACAGAAATTATATGGTTACCAGGAAGAATTGGTGATGTAATTTATAGAATACAGAAATAATACGGCTACTGGGAAGAATCAATCATGAATAGAATACAGAAGTTATATGGATACTAGGAAGAATCGATGTCGTTTATAGAATACTGAAGTTATATGGCTACTGGAAAGAATCGGAGGTATAATTTATAGAATATTGAAGTTACATGGCTTGTGGAAATAATCGGTGATGTAGTTTATAGAATACAGAAGTTATGTGGCTACTCGGAAGAGTCGGTAATTTAGTTTATAGAATACAGAATTTAAATGGGTACTAGCAAGAATCAGTGATGTAGTTTATAGAATACAGAAGTTATATGGCTACTGGGAAGAATCAGTGATGTCGTTTATAGAATATACAAGTTATATGGTTACTTAGAAGAATCGGTGATGTCATAACTTCTGTATTCTATAAATTACATCTCCGATTCTTCCCAGTAGCCATATAACTTCAGTATTCTATAAATTACATCTCCGATTTTTTCCAGTAGCCATATAACTTCAGTATTCTATAAACGACATCGATTCTTCCTAGTACCCATATAACTTCTGTATTCTATAAACTACATCACCGATTCTTCCCAATAGTCATATAACTTCTGTATTCTATAAACTACATAACCGATTCTTTACAGAAGTTATATGGCTAGTGGGAAGAATCGGTGATGTAGTTTATAGAATACAGATGTTATATGGGTACTAAGAAGAATCGGTGATGTAGTTTATACAATACAAAAGTTATATGGCTATTGGGAAGAATCGGTGATGTAGTTTATAGAATACAGAAGTTTTATGGCTACTGGGAAGAATCGATGATGTAGTTTATAGAATACTGAAGTTATATGGCTACTGGGAAGAATCAGTGATGTAGTTCATGGAATACAGAAGTTATATGGCTACTGGAAAGAATCGAAGATGTAATTTATAGAATACTGAAGTTATATGGCTTATGGGAAGAATCGGTGATGTAGTTTATAGAATACAGAAGTTATGTGGCTACTGGGAAGAATCGGTGATATAGTTTATAGAATACAGAAGTTATGTGGCTACTGGGAAGAATCAATGATGTAGTTTATAGAATACAGAAGTTATATGAGTACTGGGAAGAATCGGTGATGTACTTTATAGAATACAGAAGATTTAGTGGTACTGGGAAGAATCAGTGATTTTGTTTATAGAATACAGAAGTTATATGGGTACTGGGAAGAATCGGTGATGTAGTTTATAGAATAAAGAAGTAATACGGCTTCTGGGAAGAATCGGTGATGTAGTTTATAGAATACAGAAGTTATGTGGCTACTGGGAAGAATCAATGTGATAGTTTATAGAATACACAAGTTATATGGTTATTGGGAAGAATCGGAGATGTAATTTATAGAATACAGAAGTTATATGGCTATTGAGAAAAATCGGAGATGTAATTTATAGAATACTGAAATTATACGTCTACTGGGAAGAATCAGTGATGTAGTTTATAGAGTACAGAAGTTATATGGCTACTGGGAAGAATTGGTGATGTACTTTATAGAATACAGAAGATATAGTGGTGCTGGGAAGAATCCGTGATGTAGTTTATAGAATAAAGAAGTAATACGGCTACTGGGAAGAATCAATGATGTAGTTTATAAAATACAGCAGTTATATGGCTACTGGGAAGAATCGGTGATGTAATTTATAGAATACAGAAGTTATATGGCTACTGGGAAGAATCAGTGATGTAGTTTATAGAATACAGAAATTAAATGGGTACTAAGAAGAATCGGTGATGTAGTTTATAGAATACAGAAGTTATATGGCTAGTGGGAAGAATCGGTAATTTAGTTTATATAATACCGAATTTAAATGGGTACTAGCAAGAATCGGTGATGTAGTTTATAGAATACTGAAGTTAGTTGGCTACTGGGAAGAATCAGTGATGTAGTTTATAGAATACAGAAGTTATATGGCTAGTGGGAAGAATCCGTAATTAAGTTTATAGAATACAGAATTTAAATGGGTACTAGCAAGAATCGGTGATGTAGTTTAGAGAATACAGAAGTTATATGGCTACTGGGTTTCTATAAACTACATCATCGATTCTTCCCGGGAGCTTGATAACTTCTGTATTCTCTATAAACTATATCACCAATTCTTCTTAGTACCCATTTAATTTCTGTATTCTATAAACTACATCACCGATTCTTACCAGTAGCCATATAACTAATGTATTCTATAAACTACATCACCGATTCTTCCCAGTAGCCATATAACTTCTGTATTCTATAAACTACATCACCGATTCTTCCCAAAAGCCACATAACATTTGTATAGTATAAACTACATCACCGATTCTTCCCAGTAGCCATATAACTTCTGTTTTCTATAAACTACATCATTGATTCTTCCCACTAGCCATATAACTTCTGTATTCTATAAACTACATCACCGATTTTTCCCAGTAGCTATATAACTTCTGTATTCTATAAACTACATCACCG